GCCTTGCATAGTAGGCTGAGAAGTGCGTTCTGGCTACTAGGTACGACATATATATATATATATATATATATATATATATATATATATATATATATATATATATATATATATATATATATATATATATATATATATATATATATATATTTATATATATATATACAACCTTAGAACACTTTCCCACCAGGAGATTCAAACCCTAGCCAGCACAGAAGCCTTACAGCTACTGGCATAACTGGTACGCCTTTAACCCACTGCACATATATATATATATATATATATATATATATATATATATATATATATATATATATATATATATATATATATATATATATATATATATATATATATATGTCGTACCTAGTAGCCAGAAACCCACTTCTCGGCCTACTATCCAATGCCCGATTTGCCTAATTGGCCGAGTAATTTTCTTTATTTAAAAAAAAAATCAAATAGTTTATTTGAATTATTATTATTATTTTATTATATTAAGAACATTAATTATTGACTTAATTGTGTTAGTTTAGGTTTTTTATATAATTTAATATATATATATATATATAATAGAGTTTTCAGTTATATATATAATAAATATGTATATACTATCTGTACTCGGCCACGCCTTGCTGTGGCTCACAGGAACCTTCCCCTGTCCCCCCGGCCTCCCCACCATTCCCCCCCTGTCTGTCCCTTCGTCTTCCCAACCATTCCCCACTTCACCGTCCCCTCTTCCTCCCCCACTATTTCCCTCTCCACCGTCCCCCCGCCCTCCCCACCATCTCCCACTCCACCATCTCCACGTCCTGCCTACCATTCCCTCATCCTCCCCACCTTCCCTTACTCCCCTGTCCCTTTATCCTCCCCACCATTCTCCATTCCCCTGTCCCCACATCCCCACTATCCCCAACTCCCCCGTCCCCTTGTCCTCCCCTTCATTACCCCCTCCCCTGTCCCTTCGTCCTCCCCACCATCTCCCACTCCTGTAACCTCGTACTCCTTTCCATTTCCCACTCCCTCGACTGATGCATTCCCAAATGATCTGATGTTCCCATCAGAAAATTGGGAACATATAATGATCTGATGTTCCCATTACTGAAATATAAGAAAAAATTTAAAAAAACAAAAACAAATTAAAAACAATGAAAAAATAGAAATAATAAAGTATGATCACAAAATGAACGGTATGGTAAACAACACAGTTCAATTCTAATGCAATATCACACAAAATAATTTAATCAAAATGAAAATAAATCAAATTCTATGGAAATTCAATTTGTCAATGCAATCTGAAACATTGAAATTTAATCATACCTTATTTAGTATAGCATGTGTTGCTCTTACGTGCAGCAGATGTTGTTTCTTATAAAAAAAGTTTTTACCTGTCAAAGGTGTGGCATCTATACTTATACTTACAAAATGAACCTTATACTAAACAACACAGCTCAATTCCAACGCAATGTCAAACAAAATAATTAAATATGAAGGAAAATAAATTGAAATCAATAAAAATTCAATTTATCAATGCAATCAGAAGCATTGAAATGGAATTGTAACATATATATAGTATAGCGTGTGTTGCTATTACGTGCAACAGATGGCACTGTTTAAAAAAAAAAAGTGTTTTTACCTGTCACAGGTGTGGCATCTATATAGTCGATATATAAAAACATGCGCGTATTTGAATGGAATGTTGAGTCAAAATTTTTAACCAATTGGTGAATAACTTTCGGAGATTACAACGTGTGTTGTTCTTACATCCAACAGATGGCACTATTTAAAAAAAAAACATGTTTTTTCCTGTCACAGATGATGAAGCATGTATGTAGTAAGTACACAAAAACATGCGCCAATTCGAATGCAACGTTGTGTAAAAATTTCAAAGCGATCGGTGAAGAACTTTAGGAGATTAGTGATTTTGAACTAACGAACATTTCTATTTTTATTTATATAGATATAACAAGGGAAGGGAGTACCACCTCTGGCTGGAAGAAGGGGACCCTTCGCCTCAGTGGAAACCACACATAACACATTAGACAGAATGTTTAGGTCCCCTTCAATACAGTTTTTGTCTGCTTTTCTCCTGCCACTCCCTTCCTTTTGTGTTATATTTTTCAGCTTTATTATGTATTTATTGGTTAAAAGATATACATTGGTTGATACAAAAAGTGCTTAAAGGTTATGTATCTCTTAAAAACACGACAGTGGGAAACATTGATAAATGTCACAGTCACAAGTTCGATCCTTGTTGCAAATCCAGCACTTCTTCGAATTCCTCTGAAGTTGGACTAGCTCCCCAAGACGCTACAGGCATTTTCCCTCTGAATCGCATCACTGAGGCGTGGGAACTAGAAACATTTTGCTCTCTGGTCTTTTGTAGCGCTGATCACTTTTTCCCCTAATTCCTTCAGGAATTCATGAATGCATGATAGAGCTGATAAGTTAGCCAAAGAATCTGCCTTTAAAGGAGCCGTTGAGTGTAACCTTGGATTGTCAATGAGCAATCTGAGAGCAGCTGTACACCGAGAACTTCAACAAGATCTTGTAGATCTGAGGCAAAGTGAAATTGACACCAGTAATTCCATCTATCATCATACTATCATGCAAGAGGAGCCACACATCTATGGATCATCCAATAAAATCAGCAGACTTCTAGATGTTACTACTGCTCGGCTTAGACTCGGTTACAAGTATCTCTGGGAATTCTCATTATCTGCTGATGTAGACCTGACCAAATGTAAACTGTGTCAACAAAATTATTCGCACACCCTCCGTCACTATGTGATGGAATGCGAAAAGATACGTGAATTTAGAGACAATTCTATAACCAATGTTCCAGCGATGTGTCAATATTTCATTCAAAATGATCTGCTACCAGAAATTTTAGCCAAATATCCCCAGTTTGCTAACTGTAGGTAGTAACTAAGTGATTGTAACCTATCCACCGCTGCCCACTGGATGGGGGGCGGTGTGCAGGACAAACATATAAATTTTGACACTAGCTCTCCACATATGTCAGTTGCTTAATTTAGAACCTGTACTTGAGGTCGATCTCGAACCCATTGTTGATGTGATGACTTATATTGAATTTTGTAACTAGCTCATCAAGATTGTAACTTGCTTAGCTAAATGAATTGTGGGGTTCAGTCCCTGAGCCCATTATGTGCCTCTGTAACCCTTTCCACTACCACCCACAGGATGGGTATGGGGTGCATAATAAATGAACTAAACTAACTAACTAACTCCTTCAGGAATTTCAATGCACATTTTCCCCAAGAACCGAGGCGGTCCGAGCTGATTGGAAGAAAGCTGTAGCCGTTTGCTAGACCTCTGTATATTGTAATTTTCTGCGATTCCCTGAAAGAAGCAGCACCACTCCCTTCACGTGTGCTGTAGTGGAGGTAGGTACTGGCTAGTGTGGTAGTGCACATGTATTCCACTTGCTTACCATCCTTCCAAGAAAGGAAGGTGACCCCATCTGGGTGCCTCTGAGGGTCATTGGGTCTGAATAAGTGTGGTTCTCTTTGTGCTGGCCAGCGGGCCATGGCGAGGCTCCTCTTGATGATGTCGTTGACTTCTTCATGTCTTACAATCTTACCCTGTGAATTACGACACACCAGACCATGCTGACCATATTGGTCTGCCATCGCATTTCCGCTCATGCACCTATGTTCGGTGAGGATGGGAAGTGGCAAGGCGAAGGGCAACTCCAGTGCGGAGAGCGTCATGATTGAGACGAGTTCCCAGGGCTGCATTGGGCACAGCAAATAAAAAATCCCTGGCGCGGGGTGCTGTTACCGCTAGGAGCCGGGCTTGTTTTCAGCATCTGCGTTTTCAATCATTGTTATGACAGTCTTTTCCATTATGGGGCTATCCCAGTGGGCCTTGCTTGTGATCTTTTGGGGCTTGTGGTCGGGGTAGTGGGTGTTCAATGGTTTCCCATTGTCTGGCTGCTTCGATGAATGTTTGATCTTGAGTTCCCGCTTTGTTTCTCATACGCTCTAGTAGGATCTTCACTAATAATTCGTTGGCCGCTGTGCATGAGGATAAGAATGTTGGAAGTTCTACGTCAGTTGCCTTTTGTATGCCTATCCTCCAAAATCTCACTGGTAGTGTTGTTTGGTCCCACTTACTGTCATCTAAATCAAGGTTGAGCACCGTCCTGAATTTTGACCTGAGGAGCTCATCATATTGATTTAGAAGTGGGTTGCCAAAATTGGGTGCACACCTTAAAAAGTATGTTAGCCTGGGCAAGGCACTCTCTGAAAAGGTAGAGGGCATCATGGGAGTCCAAGTCTCCCATTCTCTCTTCTATCCTCTTTAGGTCGTTAAACTTTTCGTCACGGACTGCAGCAATGGCACTGGGATCCAGAGGTGCTCCAAGTAGTGTGGTAGTGTGCTGTCGGTGGGTTTATTGACTGAGACTTCTGGTAAAACAGATTTCACTGCCCTAATGATTACCTCACTGGATGCAATAATTTCGCACTTGGAGGGGTTAAGAACAATACCCATGGTCTTCCCCCCATGTTTTCACGTTCTATTTGGAACGTTTTATTCCGAGTAGCTGTCTTGAGATCTTGAGGGTAATTTTAGATGATATCGGGGCTTAGTGTTCCCGTGGCCCAGTCTTCGATCAGGCCTCCTTTTTTGTTACACATCCCCAGGAAGCAGCCCGTAGCAGCTGTCTAATCCCCAGGTACCCATTTATTGCTAGGTGAACAGGGCATCAGGGATGAAAGAAACTCTGCCCATTTGTTTCCTCCTCCTCTGGGTATCGAACCCGGAACCTTAGGACTACGAATCCCGAGCACTGTCCACACAGCCATCAGGTCCCAGAATCTAAAACAACAACAACAACCCTCTTCTAATCACAATCGACTTGATAATAGTCCAAGACGGACCGAATCATGGTCGTTTCTTTAATTTCTGGTGTGTGGTTTAGACATCATATCTTCATCCACGTTGTTGTGACTCATTGACTGCAAAGGATTTTAAATTACCTGTTTGGCCACCATATCCACCACGCCAGCCCGCAATCCGCCAGAAGGAATCATATGCCTGTATCTTGAAAAAAATTAAGAAATAGGAGAAAGTTGAAATTAAATATTTAAAATATTCGTATGTGGTAAAAAAATCGTTTGCATTGGAAAAATTAATGGTAAGACAAATCACATTTCATCTCAAAAAACCAAGAGCATATGCAGTATTTTGTGATATGAAGCATATTAGTATTATGGTCGTAATATCAGAGCAAATTTTACTCACATAAACTGAATTTTATATCACCAAAAAACTTATCATAAAAGATAAAATATATTAAAAAATCCAATCAAGAAAATTCGCGGTTTCACAAAAACAAAACCTACGTAAAATTCAGGCCTTGTCCTAAATATTCCAGGGCTTCATCTTCTCGTCTTCCCAGTCTGATATTTGTACCTATCAGGTGGGCCTGATCGACTGCTATTTTGAGACTTGGACGCTCAATAAATCTGATAATGTATACAAATCTTTTAGGTACGAAGACACAAAATATTTATTACAGCATAAAAATAAATGCGAGCACATTCCAAGTTTTATATTCAGGGAAAAAAAAAAAAAAAAATATATATATATATATATATATATATATATATATATATATATATATATATATATATATATATATATATATATATATATATATATATATGTCGTACCTAGTAGCCAGAACGCACTTCTCAGCCTACTATGCAAGGCCCGATTTGCCTAATAAGCCAAGTTTTCCTGAATTAATATATTTTCTCTAATTTTTTTCTTATGAAATGATAAAGCTACCCATTTCATTATCTATGAGGTCAATTTTTTTTTATTGGAGTTAAAATGTTAAAATAACGTAGATATATGACCGAACCTAACCAACCCTACCTAACCTAACCTAACCTATCTTTATAGGTTAGGTTCGGTTAGGTAGCAGAAAAAGTTAGGTTAGGTTAGGTTAGGTAGGTTTGGTAGTCGAAAAAACATTAATTCATGAAAACTTGGCGTATTAGGCAAATCGGGCCTTGCGTAGTAGGCTGAGAAGTGCGTTCTGGCTACTAGGTACGACATATATATATATATGCAGTATCTATGCTAACTGAATGTTTTTGTCTATTTCTCTCACTATAGCAAACATTTTCTGCCACTCGCTCTTTGAGAGCATCTTAATGTGTACTGAAAATATGTTGCAGTTTGAGAACATTCCATTATGGTTCTTTCTACAACAATATTTTCTTTATACTATTCTTATAAGGAACTGTAATATCGATTTACATGGATTTATATTTTTATCTTCTGTTCAATCATGAACTCACCTGGAGAACTTGTCAGGGAAGAGCGGGATGTTGGAGGTGAGGACGAGGCCTTCTTGAGCAGTCCAGGAAGCCACTTTCAATCCCAGGGTTCCACTGGGACTGTATGGCAGGGACACAAACCCACTGCACCTTCATGTGGTTGTGAAAAAATCTATTTAATATTAAAATATTGGCATCTTTACATGTCAAAATATGTACTATGATATGCATTGGACATTACGTAGACTAAGAGTAGAAACTTATCTTCTTGTTCCACAATACAATGCTAAAATTAATATAAGATAAAACTCCTACTGTCAAAACAAGAACATAAACCTGGCAGATGTTATATTAATAAACTATCCACCAAAAATGATAGTACTTGTAACAGGTATTCGGTAACAAATTCCAACATCTTTTGCAAACAATGGTAGAGTTTTGTATTGTTAATTTTAGTACATTTTGGAGCATTGTTCGTACTACATTGTCATAGAGTCTAAATATGTCTTCATCGAACCAGGTATGTTTAATACGACATGTATTGCAGCTCTTTATACATTCGGATCATTTGCATAATACTAATATATAATGATAAGAAAATATATATTTATAGCGTGCCTAACACCAATTAGTGTTTCTTCCACAATGAGCAGCATGGAGTTGGTCATGGAGAGCAACCCATGGAGGACCTGCAGGTGATGGAGGGGGAGGCGGGTGACGACCAGGAGCCTCGTCGACCACACCAGGAGGCGGCCCTTGAGGGACCACTGGGCGAAGGCGGTGAGGAAGGCGAGGTCGTCGCTCACCACCACCACCGTCACGCACCATGACACCTGCCGCACCTGTTGACGTCAACATAGTAGATGTTATGTGAGAGTGACCTACCCGCCTCAGTAGTGATGTGAGAGTGACCTACCCGCCTCAGTAGAGATGTGGGAGTGACCTACCCGCCTCAGTAGAGATGTGGGAGTGACCTACCCACCTCAGTAGAGATGTGGGAGTGACCTTTCCGCCTCAGTAGTGATGTGGGAGTGACCTACCCCCTCAGTAGTGATGTGAAAGTGACCTACCCGCCTCAGTAGTGATGTGGGAGTCACCTTTCCACCTCAGTAGTGAAGTGAGAGTAACCTTCCTGCCTCAATAGTGAGAGGAAAGTGACCTACCCGTCTCAGTAGTGATGTGAGAATAACCTACCCGCCTCAGTAGTGATGTGAGAGTGACCAACTCGCCTCAACAGTGATGAGAGTGACCTACCCGCCACAGCAGTGACGAGAGAGTGGCAATGTGAGAGTGACCAGCCTCAGCAGTGATGTGAGAGTAACCTACCCCCCTCAGTAGTGATGTGAGTGACCTATCAGCTTAGCTTCACTAGTGAAGTCCGGAAGACCTCTACACCTCAGTACTGATGAAACGCTTGCCCACCTGCCACTGTGGTGTGCATCCTAAGGCGACCTTCTCCCTCACAAGTGAGGAGAATATTAGATAACCGCCTTGGCAGTAATAAAAGAGTGACCTATGGTTTTCAGTACTACTGCAAAAGTAACGGACCTACTCTAACAGTAATATTTGAGTGGCTCGTCCACCTCGGTAATAATTAGGAAGTGTTTCCTTGAGGTATATAAGTTGGCACTTACTCTTTCAGCCTCTACTGTCATCCAGGAGAACTGAGCCTGCGTTAGGTTAGCGCCAGGTGAATGAAATGCCAATTCGAACAGCGACACTGGAATTCTTGATCGCGTAAGTGACATGAATTCCTGAAATAGGTGAAACGTTTATTTCATGCGAAAATATGTACAGAAATCGATGATATTTTTTGAGCAAATCCCATGCGGGAAGATGGAGTCACTCTCACAAACCTTGAAGACCGCAGTTGGCCAATAGCCGCCGTCTGTGAAGAAGACAAGTGAGGAATGGGAGTCAGACTCGCTTGACAGGACTGCCTGGAGAGCCCTGGCTGTTGCTGGTGGTGGTGACGATGCTGTTGTTTCAGAAATAAAGCCATCCAGCATCAGCAAATGCATTCACTTGCATATCTTTGTTGCATTATAACCAGGTAAACATTATATATGTTTTTGTTTGACTTTACCATAAGGTAGATGTAGCTGCTTGTCGACCAGCAAGGCAGTAACAGACAGGAAAAGCAGGGCATTCTTAAGCACTGTCACCATTTTGACCCATCCAGGGGAGGCTGTGAATGCGTCGACTAACATCATTAGTAGTTCCAATTCTTCACAAAAATGTTAAAGTAATAGAGTAAGAGACATCAATGGAAGTCTAAATCCAATTTACTGGCTTGTGCTAGAAGCACAATCAACTAACACAATGCAATAATTAGAGATCTGTGATTCTTTAGTTTTCATCCAACAAATGAAGAAAATGAACTGTGATGCTCAAACAATTCATGCCAAGTACATACTCAATACAAAAACACATGGCAAGTCACACAATAAAAAACATAAGTCACACAATACAAATACATATTGCGTCACATTTAGTTGCATTTTGGTGGGAACAGTTTACACTACTTCTGCAATGTTTTTCTTAAACAAAAACACATTGCAGGGATGCACAAACTCATAATCACAGTTTAGAAAAATAATATAAAACCCAAACACTTTTCTAGTGAAGCACAGTCAACGATTTTGCTTGCATCGTTTAAGTGACATGAAGTCCTGAAAAAGGTGATACCTTGATTTCATGTGAAAATATGTACAGAAGTCGAGAATAAATTTTAAAGTATGATCCGTCCATACATAAAGATGGACCAATTCCTCCAGCAATTTAATATTTTCATCATACTTGCCAGCAGGTGGAATCTAACGTGGAATAATTTCTTCACCTTTCTCACAGAGCACCAGGTAAAACGACCACAAGCACAAAAACCTGGTAAAAATATATTGGCCGCCCAATCGAATCGTCTTATCTCTGTGATGACTGAAATATTAAAGTATATTATGGTACTCTTCATCAACTTGTGGCACTGTGGATCCCTTGTCATTCTATGAAGGGCTGGAAGGCTACAACTTCTTTTATTTGTTGTTTGATGGTTTATATTAGTTCTGCCCAAATGGTTTATGTGCATCTTTGTCGCTATTTTGTGTGTGATATTAATTTTGCTTATTTTATCTGACAAACAAATCAACCTGCTTCCAATCAAAATTATTCTATCATTTGGAAATATTTCAGGCTCAATTTGTCTCCTTTCTATTCAGTCAATGGTTAATGTTTCATATATATATTTCTACATTTATTAATTTCAGTGTTCTAACACATTAATATTAAAGGAAATTATACACAAAAATATCCAAATTTTCCCATTTTATTTTCCATTACATATGCTAATTTTTCAATACATTTATAGGGTGTTGATATGTTCATGTTTAGTATTTCAATGTTTGTTACTAACCTGACATCTCTGTATCAGTCATAAGAAAATAATTAAAATCGTACATTTCATCTCGTCAAAATTGCAAATAGATTTCCAACTTTCATCCTACCAGTACACAGAGTCCGTGTAGCAGCTTAAACCGCCACCTGTTCTTGACTTGGTAATTCAGCATCCACTGCCCAGGATAGGTGGAACCAAAGCACAGCAAGCAAGTCAAATTTGACATAACATTTTTTCTATTTGTCAGTTAATGATAAATCATTAACTTATCAACATTAATCAAGATGGCAGTTGCAGTCATTCTACTGTGTATTTCCAGGAATGTAAACTATTCTCGAAATTCACCCTTTTCAGTAATGATGGTGGGAGCACTATTTACACATATCCGCCAGTCACCACATATACTTATTTACCTGATTGACCATCTGTTTACTTCTTCATTTACACGCATTCGTAAAATTCATAAGAATTTATTAACCATGAATGTCAATAATAATTCTTAACCCTGCGATCATATACTAGAGTATTTGTAAACCTAAATTTATCTCATTTATTCATTTATGCAGGGAAAATAACATTATCCACCATCAAGAAACAATTATCTCTGTATACATTCACAACATTATAGTGATATAACTGTTACATCTCTAACCAAAAATTACAAATAAAATAAATTGTTTATAAGATATTTATACAAATGAAATTACGCATATGTAGCTTGCCTCATGCATGAATACCACACATATACAAGGCAGCTGTTGCTTTCCAATAATCTGTAACTACGAAATATATGTTGTATAGGAAGCAGAGGGAGTATTCTGATAAAGGAGTGAGGGAAATTCTGACAGAAATAAACTAGATAACTAACATCCAATATAACCAGGAAACCTGGTTATACTGGTTACATTAGCTAGTCATAAAAGGATTATAGCGAATTGGGAGATCCGAAATATCATAAGACCATATATTAACATCACATAACTTTTATTTACCAGTCTAAACATTATAATAAATAGAAACGGGTTTTCTATGCTTTAACTTAATGAAATATACCATAAAATAAAAGGCTCCTTCCTATCGTCATATAATAGACACAAAATATAACCGTATTTTGGAGAGGCACTCCGTGGGAGGAGCTCCAACATTGTACATAAACACTGGTGTTCATAGACGGAGAGTAGCCTCCCTCTCCAGTCAGCAAACAGTACAATACTTCCTTGGGAAGTATTGTACTCGGTTCGAGGGACCAAACTTATGTAATGTATTTTCCTAGCAGGCATTTGTTTAAGTTTTAATTTACTTTATTGATTTATTCAATTTACTTTTAGTTTATTGATATTTCTTCAAAGTGGACTGAGTTTAAAAAATTTCCTGCTAGGCATTTACCTGATCCTAAGTGGTGGGGAGAGGTTATATGTACATAGCCTATACCACTAATAGTGGATATAAATAAACTACTGAATAATATGATTAGTACTACAGCTAACAATAGGTTAATAAATAATATATTCTTGGCCTCAGCTATTCAGTTGTGTGAGAGCTGTTCCGCCAATACCAGACTGATTTGCCACATGTGGTTCGTCGTGGAATGGGAGTTAATGGAAGCTCTGTTGTCTTTGTTAAAGCAAGTCAGCGTCTGTACAAGTTCATGTAGATAGTAACAGCTCTCTGATTTTACTCCCTTTGAACCACACCTCGGTTGTTAGATTGTGAAACTATTATCCACTGTTAAACCAGGTAAATAACCATCACACACACCTTCATCTTAATACTGACTTTACATCAAACACAGATCATGGCTGGAGAGAAGCAACATGTTGACACCGTCAACCACAACACTGGGCAGCCCTGTCTTGTTCCTTCCGGGGCTGTCAGCACTATACTGTACTCCACCGACATGATCTGTGTTTGATGTAAAGTCAATATTAAGAGGAAGGTGGGCGTGAAGGATGTTTCCTGGTTAGAGGGCTGTTAACAGAGGTAGTTCCTCTGCTACTAAAATATACATTGTAATTCAGAAAAAAGATCTTGCCTTATATATTTGCTTGTACGTTCTGCTCTTCTATGACAGGCCTTGATAGTGGTTCAGGACGGGCTGAGACGTCATCGTCTCCTCACTTCTGATGTATGGTTTGATCATCATATCTTCAGCTACTGTCCAGACCTGTATTTTCGCACAGGTGTAAAGTGATTTCCTACTAAAACATAATTAAATGTATTCACACAAAATAAGTCTCCTTCACTCGACATCTCTTTAAACTCCAACATGTCATGAGTACACCCCCGTTCGGGCGATTCCAAGCTCCCCTCGCTTAGTCAACCACTGGCCTCCGGAGAGGGTGGATGCGTCACTTCGCCTTCCAGGATGTTCCTCCGTCTCTACCCTCTTATTTCAGCTCACTGCCTTAGCAAAACGTATCTAATGTATCCATACTTGCCATGATCACTGGGAACATGATCAATCACAGGCAATCACTAACAACTGGTTAAATAGACTTGCCACAGAATTTATCTGATGTGGGGCGTTCACTCGATGACGCCCACGTGGTGCTCACACAGGTCGCCCACGAAATCGCTATAGGACTGCCTCACCAGGATTCTCCTAGTCCTGACTCGAGCACTAAGTCATCCTCAGACTTCATACACAAATGCCTGACTAGCTCCATTCTCTTGTAGGGACATGCAACTAGGGGTTCCTCCTTTACTGCCAGGAGTACAAACACAGTGCAACCTCCTCTCACGACCTCTGCTGCTCGAGTGAGTTCAAGATGTTCACAGCGAGCTTCATTCCTTGTCAGCAAAACCTCGACATCTAATGTCAAGACATTTATTCACATATTTATCCTCTGCCCATGCTTTTAAACTGTTCCATAACATTTGCCAAGTATTTAATATATATTCACATACCCACATTTCCTTTGACCTCTCAATTAGGGATAGTTTGTTGAATAACTCTCATAAGGGGTAGACTCTTTCTTCAGGCTACGTGGGGTCATAACACTACGTTACTGTGACTCATCATCTGCACAAAGATCTAGTTGTTATCGGTCCACCTGAATTCACATCTAAGCTTGCAACTGGCCTCCCTCAGCAGAGTTACATTAGTTTGTTCTCACCATGATTCATGCTTCACGGGACTTCATGAGTTATGTAACATTCAAACTGAAGCTTTCACAGGTCCTAGATCTTCCTGTTCTAAGAACTCTCAAGTTTCTTTTTTTATTATACAACAATTTTTTGTTTCTTGTAGAGTTTACTTTTACCCTTCCGATATTGATAAATTGAAACTGTTTGAGATGATAACTCTGAAAAAAAATTTCCTCACAGCTTACACAGTTAACTAGGCATGTTCTATAACCAATGGATTCTTTTAATAATAATATTAAAAAATATCTTATATTCATTTTGATGTCGTGAAGAAAATAAACCATTGGTGTCATGTAAGGAAAGGATCTTTTTTTTTTTTTTTTTTTTTCTCTTTTTAGCAGGGATAATCCTGCGCGGGCCCTAAGCCTCTGGCTGGCCCACTAAGTGACGCTCGTTTCTGGTTTACCTGGGCGGAGGATGAGTATGTATGACCCGTATGGTCGCTTCAGTAAGATTTTGCCATATGTGTTTAAC